GCCCGGGCCGGCGCCCAGCCCAGGCACGGCGCCCAGCCCAGGCGCGGCGCCCAGCCCAGCCCCATCCCCCGCCGCAAGCGGCCGGCCGGCGGAGGGCACCTTCAAGCAGCGCCTGCCGGCGCAATCGGCCGGCACGCGCATCGAGTACTATTTCGAGGTGCGCGGCACCAAGGGCGGCCAGGCGATCACCCAGACCCTGCCCGAGAGCAACCCGCAGGCGGCGCCGCTGGAGCTGCGGGTCACCCCCTCGTCCGAACGGCAGCCGCCGACGCCCAACACCCGCAGCGCCACGGCCACCAGCCTGGTCGGCTACAGTCTACAGATGGTCGACATCAGCGAGCAGGTGACGCGCACCTTCGAGCTGACCCGCTCCCAAGCGGTCGACCAGGACTACTACCCCTCCGGCAACCTGGCCGCCGGCCTGCGCGAGTCCGACTTCGACCCCGACGCCCAGATCCAGCACGTCGTGCTGGGCCAAGGGCCGTTCCAGCGCTTCCGCATTCCGGTGACCTGCGCTTTCGACTTCGCGCAGCACCACATCCGCCAGGTCGACGTGACGATCCGCTACGGCGCGCGCGCCGGCAGCGACGAACCGCTGCACACCATCACGGTGACGCTCAACGCCGAAACGCCGCGCCAGATCGTCACCTTCCCGGCCGACGAGGCCGGTAGCCAGAGCTACGACTACACGGTCGACTTCGTGGTCGACCCGAACCGCACCATCGGGGTGGCGCCCGGCGAATCGATCTCCAGCAGCGTCACCGGCTTCGGCGACCGGGCCATCACCGTCGACCTGGACGCGCACTTGCCGCTGATGCCGGTCGAGGTGGTGCCCGGCTTCCTGTCATTCGACAGCGGCATGCTGCGCGAGGTCCAGGTCCGCCTCGAGAGCCCGGCCAACAGCGAGGGGCAGATCGTCAAGCTGGCGCCCAACGTGCAGCTCGGCGGCAAGGAGGCGACCTACTACCTCAAGCCGGCGGCCGGGACGCGCAGCTACAACGTGGTGCGCGAGTTCTTCTACCGGCACGACCGGGTCAGCGTGCGCAGCGACGGGCTGACTGACGAGAAGCTGGTGGTCAACGAGCCCGACGAGGCGGTCTTCCGCATCGAGCCGCACCTGATCGACCGCTTCAACCTGGTGCGCAAGGTCTTCCTGGACTGCGAGTACAGCCACGCCGACGGCAGCGTCGACCGCGCGACGCTGCACCTGATCAACCCCGCGGCGCAGCAGCCCGGCGGGGTTGGGGCCGGGGCCGGGGCCGGGGCCGGCGGCAGCGGCGACCGCGACCGCAGCGTCTTCGCGGTGCTGCTGGCGCCGGGCGACGGCCGCCTGTGGCGCGCCACGCCGCGCCTGGTGCTGGCCGACGGCGCGCCGCTGGAGGCGCCGACCCAGACCTACAGCGGCGCCAGCGAGCCGATCATCAGCCTGGAGGGTCTGGGCTACCGCGTGGTCGGCGTCGACGTGCTGAACGCCAGCTTCGTCATGCAGGGCAGCGGCGCCGAGCAGGTGGTGGCGATCATGGCGATCTTCACCGCGCCCACCCCGGGCGGCGGCCAGGACACCGGCCAGGTCATCCTGCGCGGCCAGGAAAGCAAGGGCTTCACCATCCTGCGCAACGCGGCGGCCGACGCGGAGGTGACGGTCAACCTGCGGGTGATCCGCGCCGACGGGCAGACCCAGACCAGCGGTCCGCACACGCTGGCGGGCAGCGAGGCCACGCTGTTCACCGTCGTCTAGCCGCCCTGCGCCGGCCATGGGGGGACCGGCCGAGAGCGCGGCCAAGCAGTCACAGGGGGGAGCAACCGCATGCTCACGATCTTCTACAAGGAATCGGCACCCGAGGTGCCCTACGTGGACATCTACCGCGACCACGCGGAGCCGGATAAGTTCTACCTGCTCTCCGGCCTGCCGCGGATCGCGACCAACGCCGAGACCGGCGAGCCGATGTTCTCCTTCCACATGTTCGCGCGGAACATCGAGATGGCGCTGGCCAGCGCCGGCGAGGGGCCGGTCGAGTACCAGCTCGGCCAGATGTACGCCACGGTCGACCTGACCATTCCGCCGGACGACCAGGCCAAGATCATGGACTTCCTGCGCGCCCTGCTGCGCCGGGAAAGCCGCGAGGGTAGCGGCTACCGCGACCTGATCGGCGCGCGCGGCCGCTTCACCGAGCCGCGCATCGCCACCCCCTACTGGGAGAGCGGCACGGTCCAGCTCAACATCCTCGACGGGCTCGGCCCGACCTTCACCAAGGCCAGCATCGGCCAGAGCACGCCCAGCCTGACCGGCTACAACCAGGCGACGGTCTGGGCCACCCTGGGCACCGAGGGCGCGCAGCTCCTCTGGGAGACTTTGCGCGGCAACCTCGAGCCCGCCTCCGGCGACGGCGCACTGCCGATCCAGGCGGCGGTGCAGTACAGCCTCAAGGGCTGGGCCCGGGTGCCGGCGCTGAACGTCAGCGTCGAGGCCGACAGCGAGGTGGTCTACGAGGAGCTGCGCAAGCGCACCCGCATCAAGGAGACCAGCGGCAACAAGACCTGGACCTACCCCCAGATCAAGGAGCTGACCAAGGAGCTGGAGGCCTCGGACGTCATCGAGATCGTCTGGGACGACTGGGCGCCACCGGACGGCGACAAGCAGGAGATCCAGTCGCAGATCACCACCCAGATGCTCAACATGGTCTCCAACCAGATCGCCAACAGCTTCTTCCAGCCGGCCGCGGTCAGCGGCCCGGAGCTGGAGGAGCTGGGCGCGACCTTCACCCACAGCCGCGAGGGCGGCGTGCAGGGCTCGCTGCTGTGGCTCGACGAGTTCGAGCACAGCGTGACGCGCCACATCGGCTTCTCGCTCAAGCAGTCGACCAACACCAGCTTCCTGCACACGCCGCAGACCTCGATGATGTCGGCCCTGACGCCGCAGCAGGTCGAGCGCCACGTGCGCCTGATCCCGCTCGACAGCCCGGAGGTGCGGATCCTGGAGGTGCCGGTCAACGCCAACGCCGACTTCGAGCGCGACGGCATCGCCAGCATCGACTTCGAGATCACCTACGACCAGTTCGACGAGGCGACCGACCGCCAGATCAAGCAGGTCATGGCCGAGCGCTTCACCAAGGGCGACGAGACCTTCGTCTTCCGCACCCGCATGGCCCGCGACCGCAACGGCCGGCTGCTCGACAGCTACGACGTCAAGGCCAAGCTGGTGTACTTCGCGAGCACCGAATCGCCCGAGCCGATCGAGTACAAGGACATCTCCGACCGCCAGCTCACCCTGTCCTACGACCGGCTGGGCTACCTGCGCGTCTCGGTGCAGGCCGGCGACATCGACTGGACCAAGATCGAGAGCGTCTTCGTCGACCTGGACTACCAGGGCGCGCGGGCCAGCGCCAACGACGCCGTGGTCAAGCTGACCGAGGCCGAGAACACCGGGGTCTGGCAGACGCCGCGGCGCGGCAGCCTGACCCGGCACTACAGCTACACCGTCAAGTACAAGTACAAGGACGGCAACGAGCTGACCACGCGGCCCCAGCGTTCGGACAGCGAGACGCTGGTGATCCACGACAATTTGGCGTCCAGCCTGCGCCGCTTCTTCAACGTCATCGTCGATCCCAACTCGGTGGAGAACGTGATCCTGCGCATCCGCTACGACGGCGGCGGCGGCGCCCCGGTGGAGATCGCGCGCGACTTCAACCAGACGGAGAGCTGGGAGTACATCCAGTCGGTGGCCGAGGGCGCGCCGCGGGAATTCATCTACTCCTACATCATCCAGTTCAAGGACGGCCACATCACCGAGTCGGAGGACATCACCGTCGGCGAGGACGACGACGTGGAGCCGATCCACGCCCGGCGCTACCCCATGGACATCTTCATCGACGGCGGCGGCCTCGACTGGACCCAGTGGCGCCTGGCCACGGTGCAGATCACCTACCACGACCCGGAGTTCAACTTCACAGACAGCAAGTCGGCCGACCGCATCACGCGCGACAGCAACTTCACCACCGTCCCGCTGGAGCTGTTCCACCCCTCGCGGCGGACCTACAGCTACGAGGTCAACCTGGTGCCGCAGCCGGGCCAGGGGCGGATCCAGCGCGCCACCGGCGAGACCGACGGCCCGCTGTTCCTCGAAACGCTGATCCAGGCCTAGGACGCCGCGCGCCATGGCCGGAACCGCGAAGATCGGAGCGGCGCTGCAGCTCAAGGAGCTGGGCCCCGTCGCGCAGCTCAAGAAGCTGCAGCTCGTGCCGGAGCGCGATCCCTTCAACATCGCCTTCGCCGCTTTCAACAAGCAGATCGCCTTGTCGGGCAACGTGCCGCAGCTCGAGCGCACGCCGAGCAGCGACGGCCGCTCCTACGCCGTCGAGGGCCGCTCCAAGCGCTACTCCCGGCCCGCGCTGCGCCTGGCCCAGCGCGGCGGCTGGGAACCGGGACCGGAGGTCCGCTTCGTACGGGCCGAGGACGGCAGCCTGCGGCTGGCGGTCGCCTTCGAGGAGGACCCGGACGCCGAGCACCGCGCGGACGGCGCCCTGCCCTTCGCGGTCAAGGTGACCTCGGTCGCGCTGGAGCCGGCCGACGGTTCGGGGGCCTGGAGCCGGCTGGCCTTCGACCAGACACTGCTGCAGATCCCGCTGGGCCAGGGAGACGACGGGCCGGCCTTCCGTATCGAGGCCGAGGCGCTGCTGCCCAACGAGGGCGAGGCGACGCAGATCGCCTCGGCCCTGCAGCGCGACGGCGGCGCGCGCTGGAAGATCGCCCTGGAGTTCGACTGGGTCCCCAAGCAGATCCGGCGCTCGAGCAACCGCTCGGGCCGCAGCACCGGGTTCGTCGCCACGCCCATCCTGCTGCACCGCGCGCCGGTGGTCACCGCGCAGCCGATGGTCGCCGCGCGCGCCCGCGTGGACCGGACCAGCCTCAACTCCAGCGCCGTGCTGCGCCTGGTCAAGGAGGCCAGAGTCACGCCGCAGCCGCGCGGCGGACGTGGCGGCAGCGGCGACCGGCCGCAAACGGCGACGGCGATGCCGGCTGGCGGCCTGAAGCGGGTGAAGCTCAACGGCGTGATCGACAAGATCGTCGCCGGCCAGATCGAGACGCCGGTGCTCGACACCCAGCCGGACAACGACGTGCGCACCCAGCGCATCGTCCGCAGCATCGCCGCGCACTATCCGCCGCAGTTCCCGGCGCACGAGCCGATCTACGCGGCGCTGACCGGCGCCGGCTCGCACCTGGGCTGGCGGGCCAGCGCGCACGGCCTGTTCCAGCCGGCCGACCTGCGCGACACCTGCTACATCCTGCCCGACCGCTTCCTGCTGGCGCGCAACGCCGAGTCGACCCTGCCGGAGGTGACCGGCATCCTGCTGGAGCCGCAGGAGATCCCCAGCGGCACCAGCCTCGAGGATGCGCTGATCACCCGCCTGACCTTCCGGGTGGTGCCCTACATCGATCCCGCACGGCTGGTCGAGCTGCGCAAGCTGATCCGGGCCGAGACCAGCAACGAGGTGGTCTACTCCGACCTGACGATCGGCGGCTACAAGTCGGCCCGCTTCGTGCCCGACCAGGCCCTGCAGGGGCTGGGCGAGTTTTTGACCGGCGCGCGCGAGGCGGAAAGCCGCGAGGTGACCCCCGAGGCCGGCTTCGCGATCACCTACGAGGGCCGCGCCGAGTTCACCAGCCTGCTGTTCGACAAGCTGCGCGGCGAGGGCATCCGCGGCGAGGTGGAGTTTGAGCTGGAGCAGCAGAGCGGCGACCTGCTGCGCCAGCGCGTCCCCGTGCTGCTGGCGCTCGACGACACCGCCCCGCTGGAGCCGACCTGGAGCTTTGCCTTCGCCGACCCGCAGGACCCCGGCTCGCAGCGGGTGCTGGAGATCACCAATCCCTACGCGCGCGAACTGGAGGTCGACGCGCTCACGCTGACGGCCCTGTCGCGCTCCACCGTGACCGGCGAGATTCTGGACTTCCGCCACGCCGATCTGGGCCGCGACAACCTGCGGCTGCAGCCCGGCACCACCGAGACGGTCGGCCTCGACTTCGGCGCGGACGACGCCGCCTGGAACGTCTACGAGCTGGTGTTCGGGGACGTCGCGCTCGACGTCGACCCGCAGCAGAGCCTGCAGGCGCTCTACGACACCTTCGTCAACACCGTGCGCTCCTGGAAAATCACGGTCACCGCGCCGCAGTTCGTGGGCTTCGACCATCTGCCCGACGAGATGCAGCAGCACGTCGCCCAGATCCTCACCTTCGAGGTGGAGCTGCGCCGCCCGGGCCTGTCGCGCACCGTCTCGGCGCGGGTCTCGCGCGATACGCCGGAGGCCGAGGTGTTCCTCGACCGCAGACTGGCCGACCTGCTCAAGGAGAGCTCCGAGACGGCCTACGAGTACCGCCGTCGCATCGTCCGCTTCACCAGCGCAACGGCCTGGAGCGACTGGCAGACCACCACCGACGCCTCACTCATTCTCTTCTCCACGCCCGAGCAGGACAGCGACGGCGGCGGCGGCGGCGGAAGCTAGAGCCACACGGCCGCGCGGTGCGCCTGCACCGCGCGGCGAGCCACCGGGAGGACGCCGAGCATGGCGGTCGCGATCAACGAGGACTTCCTGATCCCGCTGCGCCCGGGCCACGCCGTGGGGCGCGGCTGGACGGCGGCGACCGAGCGCCGGCCCATGGGCGTGACCTGGCACTGGACGGCGGGCTCCACCCTGGCCGGCTGCCGCGCCACCCTGGGCGGGGAGAGCCCGGCGCAGAAGGGCGTGGCCTCGGCCCACTACGGCATCGGCCGCAGCTTCGCCGAGGGCATCGACCGCTACGTGGCGCTGGACAACCGCTCCTGGCACGCCGGCAAGAACCAGACGCTGCGCTGGGACGGGCAGCCCTCGACCAACGCGACCAAGGGCGCACGCGCCACCATCGGCATCGAGACGGTCAACGTCGGTTTCGGCCGGCCGGGGGTGGCGCACGGCGACGACTGGCTCCTGGCCACCACGCCGAACGGCAAGCATGTCCGCCAGGTCCAGCCCTGGACCGACGAACAGCTCGAGATGTGCATCCAGATCGGCAAGGAGGTGGTTGCCCGCTGGCCGCACATCCGCCCGGAAGACCATCACGGCCACCACGACCTCTGCCCCGGCTACAAGGAGGACGTGATCGGGTTCCCCTTCGCCCGGGTGCTGCGCGGCATCTACGACGACCCCGGCATCGTCGACGTCTGGACGCCCTTCCGGCTGCCGGCCCAGCGCCAGCGCGCGCTGGTGACCCTGGGCTACGATCTGGGGCCCCTCGGGCCGGCCGGCGACGGGGTGGATGGTGACTGGGGGCGCCTCTCGGACGCCGCCCTGCTGGCCTTCCAGGCCGAGCGGGGCCTGGTCGACGACGGCATGTGGACCAGCTTCGTCTGCCGCGCCATGGATGCCGCCCTGCGCGCGGCCGGTCACGACCCGCTCCAGCTCGCGGCAGCCGAGGCCCATCTGTAGCCGCCGAACCTGAGAGGGGCTTCACAGTGGGTCACCGACAGACCCGCGAGATTTGCGGGGGCGGGCGCGCCGCAGGATGCTAAGCTTGCGCAGCATCCCGGCGGACCCACCGAGAGCGCCAAGCGGGAGCCTCTTGCCATGTCCGGATTGAAGCGAGCCGCCACCCTGCTGCTGTTGCTGCTGGCCCCGCTCGGCCCGATCGCGGGTCCGGCTGCGGCGCAGGAGGTGGTCGCCCGGATCGACGCGGTCAGCGGCACCGCCCACGTCGCGCGCGCGGACACCCGCCTGATCGCCGAAGCCGGGCTTGAGCTGCACCGGCGCGACACCCTGGAGACCGCCGAGGACGGCCGCCTCCGCCTCAACTTCCGCGACGGCACGGTGATCGCCCTCGGTCCCGGCTCGCGCGCCCGGGTGCAGCACTACCTGGACACCCTGGGCGGCGCCGACAGCCGCCCGCCCCTGGTCGAGCTGGTGGTCGGCATCCTGCGCGCCACCGTGCCGAACGTCGGCTCGCTCGGCTGGTCGGTGCAGACCCGCGCCGCCGTCGCCTCCTCCCGCTCGACCGACTGGATCATCGAACACCGCGCCGACAAGACCGCCCTGATCGTGCTCGGCGGCGAGGTCGAGGTCATCGGCGACGCCGGCGGTCGCCTGCTGCTGACCGGCGGCGAGGGCGTCGACGTTTCGCGCGGGACCCCGCTGCCCGCCGCGCCCAGCCGGTGGGGCGCCCAACGGGTGATCGCCTTCGTCGAGCGGGTGGAGATGCCGTAGCGGGCGGCGCCCCCTGGACTCGCGGCACCGGTCCGCCGGCCGCAACGCCCCGCCAGCTCTTTGAGTCACGTCATACTTCGGAGGCCGCAACAGCATGGTCCGGCATCGCGCGCAGCCGCCGCGGGTCCGCACGCGCTTCGCCGCGGCCGGGGTCGGCCTGTTGGCGATGCTGCTGGCCGTCCTGCTGCTCGATGCGCCGGCGGTGCAGCGCCTGGAGGCGCCGACCCT